GCCACTCCCAGAAGTGGTTGCAGCCACTCCCAGAAGTGGTTGCAGCAAGCACAGTAATTGGCCATTGTGAGATCACCTAGAGGACCCCTACCACTGGACTGCAGGATCGCCCGTAGGGGACCCCACCTCCCCAGACTGCAGGTCGGCAGGACTGGTCACAGGGGGGGGGCACATGCCCCTGCCCTGACTAAGGCAGCACCAGTCATCCATGGGTATGGAGCCTCTCACCTCCTGTGAGGATCTGTGATGATGCAAATTACATAGTAGTTTAGTGGTTAGAGCAGTTGCCTAAGAAGTAGAATCCTGGGTTCAGAGCTCTTAGCCTGAGGGGTTTGAACCCATATCTCCCAATTCTCAGGAGAGTGCTCTGACCAATGGATTATAATCTTGATTGAGAAATGGTTCTCTTCACCCCTCATAATGCATATGAGACACTTTGCAGCAAAGAATGCAGGATTCATGGGCTCAAAAGAAGGACCCGAAGAGGAAATCTAGCTTTGTAGCCAAGCACTTAGAGTCTTCATCTTGGAAGGGAGAATCACAGTTTTGGTCCCCGTTCTAAAAGAACATTCTTTGGATAAAATACATAAGAAGTCCTGGGATCAGGTACCAGAACCCAGGATTTCCCTTTCCTGGTGGGACTACAACCAAAGACTACCGTGTCTTGCTTCTTTCTGGCTTCATGAACACTGCATTCATTGTTCGATAATGATTCAACTTGACCAGGAGGGGTGGAGGACACCTCTATCTCATCCTGCCAGTAGGCTTGTCATTATGACATTCCCCTGGGAGGGGGAAGAGGTGGCTTAGAACTGTCAGGCTGAGGAAAGCACTGAACCAAGTCTCCTACTTCCTAAGCAAGTGCTATAACCCTCATGGGGAGATTACTGCACAATAGATGGGCAGTGGCAGCATAATGACCACTCTTTAAACAGAAAAGTATCCTGACTCATTTCTTCAAAAGTGGTTGTAGGTGATGTAGTCTCAGGAGAAGATTCTGGACACAGGATAGAAGTGCCTTTCTGCAATCCTGAGTCAGATGGCTATACTCCAAAGGGGATTTCGGGTATACTCCTGTACTTGGCATATCCTATTGGCTAGCCTTAGGTGGCTATTGCTCAGTATGCTGCCTGATTCAGACCTCATTCTGAGAAACATTGTGTAGGGCATCTAGGTGGTCTGGATCCTACTCTGAACGCTGGGCACCTGGAAGTTAGGTGTTGTGGTTCCTCAGTTGCAGATGTCTAAATCTTTTGTTGGACCTAGTCTATAGTGAACTCAATAATGATGAAGAAATAAAGCATTTTTCATGCAAATATATCAAACTCTTAGGATTCACCAATATTTTCCTGAATATAGGGAGTTGTTCAAATACTCACAAGCAGGTCCAAGCTGTAGTTTTTTGCCAGAGCCCTGAGTGAAGATATATCTACACTAGAGTTGGCAGCCTTGTTTTAACTTCCGTCAACTGGTTCCCCAGGACACACACATTTATGATTTACCCTAGGGATTGACCCTGCCTAAACTGCAAATGTCTGGACTAATTCACAGTCACTCTAGTTAACAATCAATTGTTGTTAGTTGGCAATCAGTTAACGGGAAGGTTGTTTGTTTGTTTTTTTTAAAAGAACCTCAGAATTTTATCTCAACAACAAACCATGAAGGCCAGCTGCACAATTGTGCTGCCCTTGGGCCAAACTGTGGCCGTGAATTCCCCTTGTGGTACCTTTATTCCCTATACCAGGCACAAATTGCTTCAGCCTCTCTGTGGGCACAGTGGAAGGGGACAAATGTAGGAAAAAAGAAATAGCCACTGAGAATCCTTTCTCCATCATACTGTGACCCCCCCCCCCCCCCCCCCCCCACGCTGCTCTGCCGGCGAGAAGGAAC